TAATAATAATAATAATAATAATAATAATAATAATAATAATAATAATAATAATAATAATAATAATAAGTGTTGCGCTTTTTAGTTGTTTCTGGTTCCGAGCAGCTTCAAGCAGTTGTGCACGATTCTCCACCACTTATTGGTATGTTTTCGTTGTATTCTTCGTAATGTCTCGTTACTTTAATTAGCTCTGTTTTTTTATTCTTGAAGACAGAAAGGGGTACGGGGTTTGTCTGGTTTCTTGAATCGCAAAAATGCCACCAGAATGAAAAAGATCCAGAACAGTGCTGATACCGATAGTGGAAATCACAATGATATCTGTTCCTCGCTTTCGCTGTACCTACTGTCACATCTATGCAAGATTTTCGCACGCATAGTTTACGGCAGAATCGAAATGGTTGCCGGCAGAAATTCAAGAAGACAACAGTGTTTTAAAAAACGGTCTTTCGACATTTTCGCAGTAACGGATTTGGTGAAACATGCATCTATTCATCGATTTCAAAAAGGCTCCTGTCGTCTCTGGAGCACTGTGTTGTACGGCAAATTTTCAGAACCTGGGATCAATTTGGTATACGTCCGAATTGTTAAAAACTGTCTCACGGGATCACAGAGAAAGCATCTTTCCGGATGCCTGGCCTCTCCGCCTTCTCCTCCCCCCCTCCCCCTTCCCCCTCCTCCCTCCCTCGAAAGGAAAAATAGGAATATATTGAGGCATTAAGTTAATCTGTTGAGGCATTAAGACATTCATTCCTGAAAATCATTACATTTGAAAGCTGAAACTGGAATTTTGTGTTGACGGTATTCCTGCGCTTTTATTTTCGCAGAGGAATTGCACTCATTGCCGGAAGCTTCGTGCTCATTCCAAAAATTGTTGAATGAAATTGCGATTGGTGCGAAGGGAATTGAAATACAGTCTTGCGGAAGACAGTTGATAAAGAATGCATATTTTGCCCTCTATGCATCCATTTCGACATGAAAAATGAGAATCGTTCTATTCACACGTGCACTGCTGTGCTGTTTCGATGGAGCATTACTGGTAATAACCTGGTATGAAACTAAGTAGAAGAAAATGACAACGGCATTCATTATTAATTTGTGGAACGTATTTTCGAATAACTAGCAGAAAATCAGCTATGAATACGGCCTTCTCATTCTCACTGGTTTACCAGTTCTGTTGTGCGCAAGTAAATTACGGAATAAGAAGAGATTGCTGAGAAGAAAAAGTTGACAGTAACCCGATGGATTATGGGATGGCGCGCAGCATCGCAGCACATCTCCATGAGTTATTGATGCTCTGGTCTCACGTGAGTGGTCACTTGAGAAAGACAAGCTAGTGTATTCTTGTGGCAGATGCGAAGGACAAAAAATGGACGAAGCAAATTGTTGAATGTTACCCATGTAGCTTTAAAAGAAAAGGGATATTTGATATTGTGGTGAGTAAAGATGGGACACGCTTGTGTTCCTGGTGATCGTTTGTGGCGCGCTGGCTAACAAAATGGCTTTTATTATGCAGCGTTTAGGTACGATAAAGCGCGCGTACTTGAGTGCACAGTCGAGTGTTGACAATAGGTTGGTTCGTAGACTTTGGAAGTCAAGTCGTTTAATCGAAGACGATTCGTTTGTCGAAACGGAGACTGTACCATTGAGCCGCCAGACGAGGTCTAAGAAGTGGGCGATATGAAAAGCCGGACCCTGAATCCAGAAAAGGGGGGTTTATATAGATGTTTTAATCCGCCCCATTGAAGGATTTTGTACCAGCCTCCCCTTTGTACCAGCTGCCATCTGGCTTCAACAACAGAGCATTGTTAAGATTAATTACAGTATTATGTCTAGACGCTTCATTCTTACAAAAGGTAATTAACGGGGGTATAACACAGACAAGAAAAGAGGAGAACATGTGGTGGTAATTTAGATTATGAGTTGAAAAATCGAAAAAGAAGTCAGAGTTTGAAATTTAATATTTAAAATTAGCAACTCATATTTACAGGTGGAGAGATCCACTTATAAGCCTTCCTGAAATTGTTTTGGTTTGCTAAATATATTAATGGCGAAAGGGGTGCTACAGTGATACAACACTTAAAGTATTAAAGTAAATGCTTGCTTTAGAGGTTCTTCCCGGCCTAAAAGGTGCATTTTACAGAAAATATTGAATCTGATAGCCGCGGTGCATCGAGCACCGTTGCCCCAACAGCAGGCACCGACGACGACAACGGTAGCACTGAAAATGTACTTGTGATTGATGAGGAGGAAAATGGTAACGAGGTGGCGGAGGAAGAGCAAACCGATGACAGAGTCGGTGCGCAGACGGACGATGAGGCTTCTGCTGCTAGGCCGAGCAGTTCTGAAGGAGCTGGATATCGCCGCATACGGATTCGTTATCCAGACATCGGCGAACCCAGTTCAAGCAGGTTCGTTAATTTGTGTTTGAGGACCGTACCCCCAAATTTAATCTTGTAGGCCTGTTGTCTCACGGTGTATTATAATAAAGCACTTAAGCAGTATGGCTCATTTCACCGAATATCTGTACTTCATGCA